GGCCATGGGGTCGCTGAGGAAAGCAAAGGGGTTTTGAGAACAGCCTGGGATATATGATCTGCTGTTACTCCCAGACAGCCAGTCTGCTGGGGCCATGGTTCACACCTGGGGCCTTGGCCCCAAGGCCATTGTTTCTGATTATATCTCACTCAGCTCTGTGGCCTTGAGCTAGTGATGTAATCTCTCTGAGCCTTGATTTGATCCTCTGTGAAATGGGGAGAGGGGAAATAGAACCCGCTCTGAGGGGTGTGCAAGCAGAGCTGGGCACATGGGAGGCACCCGATTGTCTTAGCTTCACCACCTCCATTCACCCTAGAAGGACTATCCTGTACTTGTCTGCCTGGCTGCTTGAGGTCCTAGCTCGCCAGGTGGCTTGGGCAGCCTGCCTTCCTTCTTGAGCCTCAGTTTCCCATCTATAGTATGGACATCACTGTTGCTGCCCCAAATACCCCCACTGTACCCCCAAAGTGTTCTGGGGGTCCCTAGGCAGCTATGCCTGGCAAACCCCAGTGCTCCTCTGCATTACACTGCATTTACATGACTTGGGGGTCATGTCGTGGTCACCTGCCAGCTTGTGCATCCCATGTGGCCCAGTCAGGGTTGGGTAGCTTCAAGAGTCCTGGTGGGCTCCAGGCACGGTACCTGACCTCTCCAGCCCACACACTGGGAGCCCCTCACCTCTTTTGGAACACCCAGCCCACTGCTTGTCATTCATCTCCCCTAGCTTGAGGAGGGCCTGAATTTGGTCCTTGATATCAGCTCAAGCCCTTTCCTAGAAGCCTCCTAATTTCCATGGCTAATGTGAATAGCTGGCGGGGGTGGGTAGCATCACCCTGGTCCTAACTCCCTGTGGTGGCAAATTGTTCCCTACTCCTGGCTGGGAGGGCCTTGCCAGCTCAGGGGGGCTGACATGAACCTCTGACCCGGTCATCCCCCACCGGGAACTCACCCAGTATGTAGAAGGATCTTGCACCTGCTTCAGGCTGCCTTGCCTTGACTTCTGCCACCCATGTGACCTCAGGGTAGTCTGTAAGCCCTGTGAGCCTCATGTATCATCATCTGTCTTGTGGGAGGTGGGTGGTGCCAGCCCATTTCTGGGGAAGCCTGAGGTGTTCTTCCTGTAATTCCTGCCCCAGCTCTGCTCTCGATCTGCCCAAGGCTCCCCATTGCCCTCTCCATAAAACCAACTGTCCTCCAGGCCCTGCCCACCTCCCAACCTCATGTTCCCTACATTCTCTTCTGGTTGTCTTTCTAGCCACATCAGCTTCACCCCCGTAAGGCCTTTGCACATGCTGTCCTTGCCTGGAGCACCTCTCCCCCAGCCCTCCCCATGGCTGGCTCCTCCCTGGCACCAGGTTCTAGCTCACATGTTGCCTCCATGGGGAGATCCCCTTCTGTTGCCCTTCACTGGTGCCCTGGTCCCATCACCTCTGTGCTATGTCACTGAGCTCTGAGCCTATATGCTGGTGTGCTTTTGTGTTTGTCCTCTACTGCCCATGAGTTGCATGTAGGCAGGCTCCTGTCTCCCTGCTCTGCTCCAGCTTCCTGTAAATGTTTTTGAATATACACCTAAATAATAAAGGGGTGGTTTGGAGGGAAGGCCTAGTGCTCTGCTCCCCTGAGCTCCTGGCCAGCCTTCCTACAGCTGCAGGCTGCTCTGGGGAGGCAGGGCTCCAGCTTATCAGTCCTTTCCACCTTAATCTGAAGAATGGGGCTTCGTCAGTGGGCGTGGCTCAGGGGCTGTTTGGAAATCCACAGGGTTTGCAGGCATATCATTGAGGTTGGCCAAGCCTGGGTTCCAGTCTCTGCTCTGCCACCTCAGGTGAACCTCAGCCTCCTCTCCTGAAAACAGGTTAAGTGGATTGCTACACAGGACCACAGCCCCCAGCAAGGCCCACGGCCCCTCTCTGAGTGTTTGCCATCCTCGTTGATGACATGGATACCGGCGCCCGGGAGAAAACCGCTGCAAGGGAGGGGCCCGCACATTCAGGCTGTGCCCGTACCGCGCAGCCTCTCTGAGTCTCTGGGAGGCTGAGTGAAACTGCCTTGAAACCAGCTGGGCGTGGTTGACATCACTGTTGCCTTCAGCAGGTATCCCTCCAGCCAGGGAAGGACCCAGGGTCCTGGCTTATGAACACATCTTTGAGAGGCAGGGCCTACAAACCCCATTTTCCAGATGAGAAATAGACTCGCCAGCCTTTGAGGGGCCTCAGTGGGATGAGAACCCAGCTTGGCCTGCCTCCATGCCCCTCCTCTCTTGCCAGCGTTGCTAACCTGACCTTGGGCAAATGGCTCTCTGGCCTCTGTTGATTAAGCCCTGTCACTCTGCCCAGGCCTGGCTCATAGCCATCATGTCAGATGATTCCAGGGATCCCCGAGAGGTAGAGAAGACTGGGGGGCAGAGAGACAGTGTCCTGCCCAGAGCCAGCCAGGCTGACATGGAAGAGCTGGGATCCCAGGCACCCTGGCCAGGCACAGCTGAAGTGCCCACAGTGGGAGTGTCAGTTGCTGATGCCAAGGGGCATTACTGGCCATTGTTGGAAGGCAGCAGGGAGCTTGGCCGGCGCCAGCATGCTGACAAGCAAACAGAGGCCAGAGCCCAGGCATTGCCTTTGGCACCCTCAGGAAAGGCAGCCTGGTGTTGGGCTGCTGCCTGACCCTTGCCTCAGTTGGCACTGTCCCTAGGGGTACCCTGGGACCTTCCAGGAGCTTGCTGCCTCCCTCCCAGGGCCTGGCAGGTGGGTGCTGTGAGTAGGGACTTCTGTAGCATAAATATCTCCCTCTCTGGGTGGCAAACCCCACCCATAGTTGGTCTGTGTCCACATTCCATGAAGTGCTATTTACAGAAAGGGAAACAGGCCCGGAGAACAGTTTATCCATCACCAACACTCAGCAAGTGCTGGCTGTGGACCAGCGAAGTTGTGAGTGTTTTAACTTCCATTCATCTCGTTAGTGCTGCCTTCAACCCTGGGAGGTAGTTGGAGAAACTAAGTCAGAGAACTTGAGTCACTTGCTGAAGGTCTGGTGGCCAGCAAGTAAAAAACAGCAGAGATTCAAACCCGGCTTCCGGCCCTTTCAGCAAGGAACACTTGTAGTATGAGGATCAGTTTTCTCATCTGCAGAGTAGGTGCTGTCCCCTCCCCCCACCACCTGGAAATTCGGTCCTGAGATGGTATTTGGCCCAGTAAGGACCTGACACCCATTGTGTGTTTAGTGGACCTCAGTGTCCTCTTGTCCAGAGAGCAGAATGGAGACCAGGGCCTGGAAGTTGGCTGGGGAGCAAACCTGGGAAGCAGGGAGGTATGGGAGAGAGGCCCAGGTGGGAATATCATGGGAATATTGTGAGTCAGATGGTGGCCTCAGGCTAGTGACATCAACAGTGTGAGCCTCAGTGTTTTCCCTGTCCTCCATAGTCCTCCATACTGGGAGCCCTTCGAGATGTTGTGGATTAAGCACAGGGGGCTTGCCCAGCCCTGAAATGTGAACCCTTATTAAGGCCTAGCTTCAGTTTGCTCCCTCCCAGCATTCCCTGGTTCTGAACTTGATCTCCACCAACCCTAGCCAGTGCCTAGAGGAAATAAGAGCCAGTATCTGGGAACATTTGTAACCCTCTCCGCGCTGGAGATTAAGAGAGTGCACTTGGTGAGTGCCAGTGACACAGAGGGGCACTGGATGGCAGGTGTCTTCTCTAAACTGCTGGCATCTGTCTGCAAAGAATCCCATGAACTTCACCTCACGGAGAAGCTGAGGCTCACAGGTCAGATGGTCCTGCAGAGAGTCAAATGCTTTCACCAGAAGGTCAAGGCAAGGGCTAGGATATAAGTTCTCCCAGGGGAGCAGCCCAAAAGAGGAAAGATCAAGGTGTAGGGATCATTGTCCCTGAGGAAACCGATCCACAACCATTGCCCAAGGTTATGTAGTGGGCCAGTGGCTGGACATGGATTTGACCCAGATCGCTCAGGCCCCTGGTGGCTCTTTCTGACACTGTCTTACCCCACTTCCAAACAGCAGGCTGCTCTAAATTCACCTCCAGATTCAGCCACTTGAAGCGCTGTGGGCGAGGAGCTAGACCTCTGCACTCTGGTTTCTGTAAAATATGGCCAGTGGTCGCTTTGACCTCGTGAGATAGTGGTTAGTTTTCGGTTGATTCACAAAAGGCTTATCCGGGAGGAGGCCGGATGGGGATGTCACTGGATCCCGTAAAGGAGAAAGCTTGAAATCAGAAAAGTCCAACACTTCCAGAAAGCCACAAAGCTCATGGGTAGGATTCCACCTGTTTCCACATCTTCACAACCTGGAGCGTCAGAGGACGAGCCTGAGTGACCTCAGAGAGTCTGCCTTCTCCGTGTCATTGGCAGGGAAATAGCGGGGAGTGAAGGAATGTAAAATTATCCAGGAGTCTTTCAGCTGCGATGGCCCATGTTCACAGCCAGAGTTGGAGGTCCTGCTTCTACGCGGCGAGGTCCAAGGGCCAGCCTCTACGACACAGCACCAGAGTACTCTGCCCGGGGCGTCTGCGGCCGCCTACGGCCGCCGCACTCCCGGCCAAACTCAGCACCTTGCGCTCTCCTGCCTTGCCCGGAGGCACACCGCTCACGGCCCCTGCGACCGGCCGCAGGGCCTGTCCGTCTTCGGCGTCGCAGCCAATCCTCATCGCCCTCTAGGCTACGCCCTCCGTTCTCGCGCCAGCCGCGCCAGCCACTTCTGAGCCCTGCCCTTGCCCCCCAGGGATTGGTCGTCAGGGCTGCTCGTCTTCTGCCAGAGCTCCAATCCTCGCCTACCTCCCGGCCCTCACCTCCCAGCACCTCGCACCCTGCGGGACCACCTCTGGGATGAAAAGCCTCACCCAATAGCCCGCCTCTACCCTTCAGTGATTGGCTCCAGGGGGTGCCCGTCTGTTTCATGCCAATCAATCTCTGTGTTCCCCAACGCCGATTGGCCAGCGTGCAGCCAATCGGAGCGTGGCGTGAACCCCTCCCGCAGCGCGCGCTGGGGGTGCGCGAGGCGGGGCCGTGGTGGCCCGAGGCGGCGGCGGCGGTGGTGGTGGTGAAGGCGACGCGTCCTAGCCGGTAAGGGGGAGCAGAGGGCGCGGGGTGGCGCAGGCGTCCGGGGGCCCGCGCCCCTCGGGCCGAGCCAGGGCGAGGCACGGTCTTGTCGTGGGTCCTGGGGCGGGGGCGGGCGAGGCAGGGCGTGACAGCAGCGTCGCAGGGGTAGGGAGAGGTTAAAGCCCTCCCGTACACCCCGCGTCTGGTGCTCCTTGGGGACCCTCCCAGCCGGATCTGAACCCTCACGGTCAGTCCACACACGCCTGACACCACGTCCCTTCTTGTTGACAACACCCCCCCCATACACCTGAGACTGTCCACCTCGCTGACATCCCCCACACCTCTGGGGCCGTGTCCCCAGGCGCTCGGCACAGTTGGATCTTCACACCCACACGCACTTGAGTCCATGTCCCCACCAATATTCTCCCCCACACCTGCCACCGCCCCCGCACTCATGGACACCCCCCACATCACCTAAAATTGTTCCTCTTGATGAAACCTCCACACCCAGAGCCATGCACCCCCACCTCTGCCACTGGGCGTACACCCCCTCCACCCATGCCTGAGCCTATGATGCCGAACTCGTGGCCCCCCACTCACACCTGGGCCGGGTTATATCCCCTCACTGATTTTGCTCACATCCAGGTCTGTTCCCCTCTCTCTTGCTTCCTCCCTTCAGCCACTCGGGTCAGGGCCCTCAGTACTCTCCCCCACCCCTCCACCTGCCCTGTGCCTTTCCAGGCCCTCTCTCCATGACACACCCCCAGTCTGTCCCCCACCTGTACTTTCTTACATGTGTACCTATATTTGTGCCTCTCTGTAATCCTTGAACCGCACCCCCCCACCCAGGTTCCCCAACATTTACCCGAGCCTAGCTCTCTCAGGATAACTGCACCCTCCCCCACCCAAAAGAAAAGCCCACCCAGATGTTATCTTTTCATTTATGACAGTCTGTAAAGTGATTTCCAGGCTTACAATAATCCCTTTGGCCAGGCGAAACCAGAATTATCTCCATTTTACCAGCAACAAAACCTAAAGAGACTTGAACTGGGGAGGCAGAGCCCATCCCTCCCTGAGCATTGCTGACCCTTCTCTGTAGACCTTCCCCATTTTTGCCCATCTGTTGTGCTTATCTCTGAGGGGCTGGCAGGGGAGGGGACCCCCTCCTTCCCTGCAGCTGTTCCTCAGGAGTCATGACTTTGAGTCCGGAAAGACTGAGCTGGAAGGGACGGCCCCTGAACGTTGCTGTAGCACGTGTCTCTGTGTCCTGGGGCTGGGTGGGGGCGGGGACACTGCAGGAGCGGGACTTGCAACACCTTGGGTGCCTGCAGTGGCACCCAAGGGAGGTGCCAGCTCCCAGCCTCTGGCCCCAGCTCTTGCAGACCGAAGCCCCTTGCTGACCCTCAAGAACTCCTGGGGCCCTTAAAGCCGATAAACCTAGAGAGTAAGGAAACACTGTTCAGAGTGAGGAGAGCTAATGTTAACAGCCACCTAGAGCCAAACTGTAAAACTGGAGCCTGGTGAGGTGCTGGGAATAATAATTTTTCTGGAACTTTAGAAGTTCCCTGGAGTATGATTTGCAAGTGTGCAGCATAGAAGAAGACGGTAGCTTTGTTGTGGAAAAGTAGTAACGTGGTACGGTTTCCTGTAAGGTTTGCATAGCACCTCTTACCCCCCTCTGTCTCTCCCACCAGAATGTGCCAAAGGGTCATGTCACCGTCACCTTCTCCTGTAGAAACTAAAGCCAATGGGGTTTTCTGCCCACATTCAAAAGGAGTCATTTAAAATGTGTGTGTTTATGTATGTGCATGTGTATGTAGATGTAGGTGTATACATATACACGTTCATATGTACACGTACTCACGTTTTATATACTACAAATGTATACACGTTACATATATATACATATGCAAATATGTAAATTTTGATAAGGTAATTGATGTACATGGTAAAAAAAAAAAGTACAAAAGGACATACAGTGAAAACCAAGCAGGTTTGTCTGCACCCAGTACCCTTCTGGAAGCATCCATTGTTAACTTGCCCCATTTCCTTCCAGAGATAGTCTATGGCTTGGGGGGAGGGGATGTATATCCCCCACCTCTTTTAAGCCCCTGTTAAATTTACATGAGATTTTTATCAAATGGGTGTGCCAGAGTTACAGCCAGTCTCTTACTGACGACTGCTGAAGTTGTCACTCATATTTTCTCCTACAAACTGAGGTGAAATGAATAGATGGACGCATGCATGAGCAAATATGCAATGAACGTGTGTGGGGCTCGAGCCCAGATACTTACGAAACCTGGTCTTCGGGGAGTTTCCTAGGAGTGGCCAGGCCAAAGGGTATGTCCATTGAAATGGTTAATGTTCCTCCAGAGAGTTTGTGCTGCCATCAGTTTTCTCTCAGCTGTGAAACTGGATTGCTTATTTCCTCTCCCAGCGGCCAGAACAGTTACTATCAAGTGTCCTGGTTTCTCCAATCTGATAGGTAAAGCGCAGCCCGAGAGATCTTTTGAACACCACTTCTGGGCTTTCTATTCAACTCTTGTGTTCTGGCCTGTGCAGTGGTGATTAAACATTGTATCTCTGTTTCTCTTCCCCAGTTGGACTAAAGTTCAGTCCAAGGAATATTTGAGTCCCTCCTCTGTGGAGCTCTGGAGGAAACCTTGGGTTTGGGGGGGCGGGGGCGTTCCTTGCAAGAGAGAGACATGGGCATTGGCCATAGTCCTGGGAGGGGAGGTTTAAAAAGTTGGCTGTTACTAAGTTTTTGTTTTTCCACTTGGATCCGGCAAAAGAATTTGACTGTCAGTTGAGATTGTGATAAATCAGATGTTCAATCTTTTGGGGAAGTTGTCCGCTATTTCCCACTATTGGTGCCAGGTGGAGGGCATCATCAGACTGAGGTCAGGCCTTTTCCTACCTGTCATCCTGTTTTTGTTCTTCTGTTTTGGCACTTGGTTAGACACTAGAGGAATACTGAGATGATCGGAACTATTAGCTTGATTGGGTTTTGCAAACCAGCTCTTTTAAAAATGCATTATATTCTTTATTTGAAGTGCGAGATACTTGTTAATAAAAAGTTTATAATGTGCACGTGAGAAGAGAGTGTAAAGGATAACAAAGCTAACACTTAGCTGAAGAAGTAGAACATGGCCCCCAGCAGCCCCTCCCTGGTCACTGCGCTATTTTTAAAATATGCTTGTCAACGTTTGTTTTCTTCCCTGAGTACCTTTTGCTGCAGCTGAGTGCTTGGATTCCAGGGTCTCAGCAAAGATCAGCAGAAGCCGGGTTTTCTGTCGGAGCTGTGTCAGTAGGGCAGCCTGAGAGGTCCAGGGCGGGGAGGGAGGTGGGGGAGTGACCTCAGGGCCATGTGCAGGTCACCAGCCAGTACCAGGAGCGTTGTCTTAGACTCCAAGTCATGTTAGTGTCCTGGGGCTGCTGTAACAATCAAGGCGTTAGCAGGTGCTAGAGATGGAATGTTTCTATCTCCTTAAAACTCGTATGTTGAAAGCTAATCCCCAACGTGATGGCATTAGGAGGTGGAGCCTTGAGGAGGTGATTAGGTCATGAAGGTGGAGCCCTCCTGAATGGGATTAATGCCCGTATAAAAGAGGCCCTCACCCCTTCTTTGTGAGCCACAGCAAGAAGGCATCTGTGGACCAGGGAGAGGGCTCTCACCAGACACCCAGTCTGCTGGCGCCTTGATCATGGACTTCCCAGCCTCCAGAACTGTGAGACATAGGTTTCTGTTGTCTAGACGCCACCCAGTCTACAGTCTTCTGTCACTGGCCAAAACAGTCTAAGACTGCAGGGTCATTTCCTACTGGGGGTCTGAGGGAGAATCTTACTGGGCCCCTCTCCTGGTTTGGTAGCTGTTGGCAGTCCTTGGGGTTTTGGCTTGCAGCCACATCATCCCATTCTCTGCCTCCATCTTCACACCCACGTTCTTCCCTGTGTGTTTTTCTTCTTACAAGGACACCCATCATGGGATTTAGGGCCCACCATAAATTCAGTATGATCTCATCTCAATATCCTTAACTCATTTCACCTGCAGAGACCCTATTTCCAAATATGGTGACCTTCTGAGGTTCTGGATGGCCATGAACTTTGGTGGGGGACACCATTTAACCCCTCCAGCTGTGAAGCCAGAAATTCTGCCAGGATGTTATTCAAAGAAGTGCTTGTCTAGCCACCTCTGCTGTTTCAGGCAAAACAGGGCTGGTAGCGTTGGAGAGTGCAGCCCCTCATTCACCTGCCATCCTACTGGAAGGTGGAGGCATCTACCCAGAGCTAGCAAGGACCCAGGCAAGTGAATGTATATGTATGTTTTGCTCTTTGCCCTCCCTTGGCATGTGCTTACCGAACTGTGAGCTTGGTCCTAGATCATCCCAGTTTATAGAGGGTCACCAAGGGGAGAACATAAGGGGAGCCAAGATGGATGTAGGTCAGCCAGAATCCAGACCCCTGTCCCTTAAGCAAGTCACCGGTGGCACTCATGCTTTCTGCCACTGCTAGACGTGGGCGTCTGTAAGCCACAGCGAAACACCACCACGGTGCCTGGAGCCTGGGTGACCATACCGTTCTTCTACAGTCTGTAAACACCTGTGGGACAGGGACAGGTGCAGAGGAGGCAGAAACACTGGGGCTCAGAAGGGTAGGGGACGCAGATCTCACCAAGTGATTGGGGCTCTGTAATTGATGAGTTCTAGCAGAGGATTGGGATGCTCACTCAGGGAGGGGAAGGTTCTTAGAGATCTGAAGCCAGCAAGGAGTTAGCTAGATGGCAAAGAATTATAAGCAAAGGGAACAAGAGAGCTGGGTATTTTTAGGCCCAAGGCACTGAGCTTGAGAGGAGATTGAGGGACCTGGTCCATGGAGCTCATGACAGGCACAGGAGGGGACTCACCTCGAGGCTGCTGCCAGCAAGGCATGGTCACCATGCCTGAGCTTAGAGCCCATAGCAGCCTGTGCTTGCTTCCCCAGCACAGGGGACCAAGACCAGGACAGGAGACACCTTGTGACCAGTT